CCAGGGTCGTGCAGCTTAGGCGCGCTGAGCCTTGTGCCACAGGGCCGGGCCCGCCTGGCCTCTAGGGTGCTCTGCGGACGGCCTGGGCCAGGGAGGATGGTCCTCTCTTCCTCCGGGCAGTGGGCGCTGGCACGCCGTCCCTCACCTGCAGGCATTCCCCTTTGAGCCCCGAGAGGGGTCGTGGGGGCCTGGCCTTGGGGAGGGGCCTGCAGGGGTGCCCGTGGGGCCGCTAGGCAGGTGTGATCTAAACCCAAGGGGCGCGGGGGCCCGGGTCGGGGCACCTTGCTGTGGGCAGAGGCCCCTCGGACACCACGTGCAGGCACTGTTTCCTGCTGGGCATGGCATGTTCCCTGGGTGGGAGGTGGCGCCCAGCAGGGCCCAGCGGGGGGTCCTCACCTGCCCGGCTGCCCTCCCCGGGCCCCACAGACGAGGCAGTTGGCTCCGTCTGTCACTGGCGCCGCCCTGCCCTCACGGATCCTGTTTCCCGAGGCTGAGGCCGAGGCTCCAGGGTGGCCGCTGGTCGGAGTGCCTGGGAGGCTGGCCTGGCACCTGGGGTTTGGGAGCCCGGGCCACACTCAGTGGCCTTCCCGGCCTCAGTTCCTGTCCCAGCAGGATGGTCAGGCTTCCGGGGGGCGGCAGTGGGGGTCGGTCAGGGTGAGTTGCCTCGTTCAGGGCCTGGCTCTGCCCTTCACCTCTGAGCCTCCACCTGGAAGATGGAGCTCACGTGACCCCCACCAGCTGGGCCAGGAGGGGGCACAAGGAGACGGGGCTGGAGAGATGCAGTGGGGAGCCCCCCTCAGGGGTGCAGAGAGTGAGCCCCGCCCGGGAGCCTGTTTGAAGGCCACTCTTTTTTTTTTTTTTTTTAAATATTTATTGATTTCAGAGAGGAAGGGAGAAGGAGAGAGAGAAACATCAATGATGAGAATCACTGATCGGCTGCCTCCTGCACGCTCCCCGCTGGGGATCCAGCCCGCAACCCAGGCATGTACCTTTGGCCGGAATCGAACCTGGGACCCTTCAATCCGCAGGCTGACGCTCTGTCCACTCTGCCAAGCTGGCCAGGGCTTGAAGGCCACTCTTGCCTTCTGGTGGAGCTGGTGCATCTGAGCGGGCGGGCGGGGAGGCCCAGGTGAGCACAGCCCGCCCCTCGCCCCTCCCCGGGCCCTCCTCTGAGGTGGGTGCTTGCTCCCTGGCTCTCTTCCTACCTCCGCCTCCCCCTCCTGGGCACGGTCCCCAGTTCTCCCTCCCCGCAGGCCCTCAGGTGTCCCCTCGCTGGGAGCCCCCTGAGGACCAGGCTCCTGACCAGGCTCCTGTGGAGGTGAAGCCGCTTCTGTCCCTCCCCCAGCCCAAGGAAGGGCTCCTGGCTCTGGGCTGGGCCAGCCTGGAGATGCCCCCTTGGCCCAGCCCCGGCCCACCTTCCAGGCCTCGTCCCCTCCACCCCCACCCCCGCCCTGGCCTGGCATCGTGGCAGGAGGGCCAGTGCGGCTGCTGTCGAATTTTCTAGACTTTCTTAAAAATTGACTTTAGAGCCGAAACCGGTTTGGCTCAGTGGATAGAGCGTCAGCCTGCGGACTGAAGGGTCCCGGGTTCGATTCCGGTACCTGGGTTGCGGGCACATCCCCAGTGGGAGATGTACAGGAGGCAGCTGATCGATGTTTCTCTCTCATCGATGTTTCTGACTCTCTATCCCTCTCTCTTCCTCTCTGTAAAAAATCAATAAAATATATTAAAAATAAATAAATAAAAAATTGACTTTAGAGAGAGGGGGGAAGGTAGAGGGAGAAGGAGAGAAACGTAGATGAGAGAGAAACGTTAATCGGCTGCTTTCCGCACCCACCACGCCCCCCGCCGGGGAGTGAACCTGCAGCCTAGGTGTGTGCCCTTGACCAGAAATCGAACCCAAGACCCCTGCGTGCGAGGGCCAACGCTCTAATAACCACGGAGCCACCCGCCAGGGCGCCTTGGTGGTGGTCGGCCTCCACGTCGCTGTGTCTCTGTCCGTTATTGGCTCAGTTCGGGGCTGAACCCGGGGGGGGGGGGGGGGGGCTACTGATTTTGTTTCTTCCTGGGAGCCGCACTGGCCTCCCTGGTCTTGGAGCGAGGCCCTGAGCCCCCACCCAGGGGAGGGTGGCCGAGGGACAGCTGCTCAGTGGGGTGGCGCGCCCTTGCTTTGCGCCGACAGGTGGGCTCTGCGGGGATCTGTCGGGCAGGCCCAGGGTGCGGGTGTGGCCGGCCGGACTCCAGGGGCGGACGCGGTGCTGTGCCGAGCGCTCCCTCTTGGGGAACGTGCCCTCCGGTTCCCCTTTAGGGACACTCGGGGCTGCGGGGCTGGTCTCCACGCCCGGGCAGCGTCTCCCGCCCTCGGAGGAGGAGACCCCGCTCCGAGACACCGGCCTCCTGACCGAGGCGCCGTGGGAGCCCCGACCCTGGCCGGACTGGTTGGTTTGTGTTTTGAGTATTTTTTTCAAAATAGAAATTCCTTCACACTTTTTTTTTGGTAAGTATCTTTATTGATTTCGGGGGGGGGGGGGGAGACATCCATCCATGATGAGAGAGAAAAATGGATCTGCTGCCTCCTGCACGCCCCACACTGGGGATCGAGCCCACAACCCGGGCATGTGCCCCGACCGGGTATCGAACCCTGACCTCCTGGTTCATAGGTCGACACTCAACCGCTGAGCCCCACCGGCCGGGCCTTCGCACGTTCTAAGAAGAAAACCTATTTGTTCAGAAATGAAGCAGAAAGAGCGAAGGCAGCCTCGGGGGCCAACGTGCACTGTGGGCGAGGGGGCCGAGGGGGCCCAGGTTCCCGCCGTCCCCCTGCCTCCCGGTGGGGATCCCCCTGCCTCCCGATGGGTCCCCTTTGCCCTTGTCCACACCTGTGGCGTCGCTGTCCGGTCTAGAGAAGCGTCCAGGGGCCAGGCAAGGCCAGGCTTGCAGGAGAGCTGCCTGGAGGCCACCGGTCCTTGGGCCTGGCCGGGCTGGTGTGTGGCTGCACCCCGAGGCCCCCTGCCTGCCCGGCCGCTGTGCTGCTCGGGGGCGCCCCCAGGTCGGGGATGCGTCCCGTGGCTGTGGCCCGGGGCTGGCTTCCTGCTCAGCCGCAGGTATGGAGCCACGGTGGGAAGAGGGAGGGAGGCTGAGGGCCGGGCCCAGTGTGTCCCTGAGTGAGCCGCGCCCGTCCGTCCTTGAGCTTGGAGGAGGCCGGTCTGCACCTGGGCCAGCAGCCTTGGACCCTCCTGCGGGCCCCGTGCCCCAAGGTCACTCTGGGCCCCTGGCTGTACCCTGCCCGTTTCCGGGCTCCCAGGGCCGTGTGGCAGGACTAGGGACCCATCTGACACCAGGGCTGACTGCACTGGGAGCCCAGCGCTGGGGTTGGCACCGGGTTGCCTGGGGCTCTGGGAGGTTCGGGGAGGCCCTGGTGGGGGGTGGCGCTGGAGCAGAGGGCCTGAAGGAGGCGAGGGTGTGGTGAGGGCGTGGCCATTGCGTCCCTGCAGCCAGGACAGGAGAGGAGCCAGGGGGCACAGTGCGCCCTGCAGGCCAGGTGGGCGGTGCTTTCATGCAGAGGGTCTGAGTGAGGAGGGCCGTCCCCCTCCCCCCCAGGGTCATTGGGATCCCAGGAAGAAGCGGGGGCACTGAGAACCGAAATGGGCACACTCTGGCCGCAGTTGGGGTTGCCCACCTTGTTGACCTGCTTGCGCCTGGCACAAGGCAACCAGGTGTCCATTAACCCGGGACGTGGCCAGGCTCAAGCTTTCTGTCTTGAGGTGAAAGCCCAGCTCCACCATTGGCACCAGCCGACACGACTGGCCTGCCCACTGAGCTACCCTGCAGACCGGGTCGCTGCCCCGGGGCTGTGAGGTGGAGGAACGCAGGCGCCACTCACTCCGGGAGATCGTGGAGGAGGGGAGCCGGGCTCCCCGGGTGGTCGGGAGGTTGGCATGCGGGTGAGAAGTGCCTGGTGGATGGTGAGCCCTTTCCGCTCGGGGTGGCAGGGGCAGAGCGTAGGGTGCCAGCCAGTGTCTCACAGTCAGCGCGGGGACAGCCTCAGCTGGCGTGCCAGCAGTCGTGGCACAGACACGCCACATGGCCCATTGCCGGCTACCGACAGGGTGCTGACCAGCTCCGGGTTCCACCGAGTGTCACAGCCTGGCCGCCATCACAAACCCACAGCCGTTCTCGCGGTTACGGTAGAACCTCGCTCGCTCGAGGGTCTGCCTGGCAGGCTCGGCTCTGCGGGGTCGTCGCTCTCTGCCTGTGGATCGATCGCTCCCTAATCCTTTAGGGCCTGTAGGATTGCCCGGCCCACTGCAGTGGAGTCGGCCCCGGCGGTGGGCAGTGAGCCGGGCCGGGTCCTTGGCCCCCACCTGGACGGCAGCCGCCTCCCCGCCCCTGTGCTGCCCAGGCGGCGTGTGCTCAGGTGGCCTTTTGCCACCGTGTCTCTCTGTGCCCTGCTTGAGGCCCTTGAGAGTGGTTCTGTGGCAGGTGAGGTTGGCGTGACCAGGGCCGTGGGCTTTGCCACGACGGTGCGGTGTGCGGGGAGCTGGTGGTGGCTGGGGCGAGGCGGCAGGACCTCGGGTGACCGCCTTCCTCTGCTGTCCCTTCTCCCCCAGGTGCTGCCTGGTCGGGCCTGGAAATGGGATGTCGCGCCTCTGCGGGGAGGACGCGAGGGCCGCCCTGAGCCGCTGCTGCTACGGCCAGTGAGCACGCCCCCGGACGATGTCCACCACGGCGACGGCTGCCCCCGCGGGGATGCCGGTGGCCCCGGGCCCCGTGAACCCGCCCCCGCCCGAGGTCGCCAACCCCGCCAAGCCCGGCCGCAAGACCAACCAGCTGCAGTACATGCAGAACGTGGTGGTGAAGACGCTGTGGAAGCACCAGTTCGCCTGGCCCTTCTACCAGCCCGTGGACGCCATCAAGCTGAACCTGCCCGTGAGTCCGCCCCGCCCCGCCCCCGCCTGGCCCCGGCTCGCGGACCTGCTGCACTCCCGGCCTTGGCACAGGTGGTGCCCGAGACGTGGCTGGTGCTGGTGCTGGTGAGCCAGGCATGGCCCGTGCCTCAAGCAGGGGGACAGCTCAGAGCCCTTAGTGGCCAAGGAGAAGAGGGGCTACTTGGGGTACAGGGGAAGGGAGGGCGCTGCCCCCGGTGCAGGGAGAACCCGTGCCTCCTGGTGACAGGAGGGTCCAGGAGCGAAGGCCCCCCTGTGTGCGCTCCGTCCCCCCCTCCCCCTGCTCTGTGCTCTCCGCTGAGCCGCCGGGGGCAGTTGCTCAGAGCGGCCCAGGTGCTGACCCCGTTGGCGCTGTGCTGACCCGGCGTCCCGTGGCTTTCCTCCTTGTACCCACATAGAGGACCCTGTGTTCCAGGGGGCGCCCTGGGTCAGCACTTGGTAGCTGGGTTCTGGGCCCGGCCCAGCCCTGCCCACCTGCGGGCCCTTGAACGAGGTTTGGAATGCGGGCGGGGCTAGGCCCCATCCCCAGCGAGACAGCTCCGTGCCTCAGCCCGTAGAACCCTGTCAGCCAGAGGTCCCGAGCCGGCGAGCGCTTGCCCCAGACCGCACGCCCAGCTGCCCTTGGGGCCAGGCCCTGGCCAGCCCCGTCCCCGTGGCAAAGACTTGGAATCGTGGGATGATGATGTAGAGTCGGTCAGTAACCCTCTGAAATCTCTCCCCCAGGATTATCATAAAATAATAAAAAACCCGATGGACATGGGGACTATCAAGAAGAGACTAGAAAACAATTACTATTGGAGTGCAAGCGAGTGTATGCAGGACTTCAACACCATGTTTACAAATTGTTACATTTACAACAAGGTGAGAAGACGCGTGCGGCGGGGGCCCCGATGCCCCGCGAGCCGCCCACCAGCCGGGGACACCTGGGCCGGCCCGGGCACTTTGCACACTCGGGCCCCGATCCCCACACGTGACCCCCACGCACTGTGGGCCACGTCCCCGCGGGAGGGGGTGAGGCCTTCCGGAAGGAGGTGACACAGACCAAGCTCTTTATTTTTTTAAATATGTTTTTACTGATTTCAGAGAGGAAGGGAGAGGGGGAGAGAGGTAAAAACATCAACGATGAGAGAGACTCCTTGGTCGGCTGCCTCCTGCTCACCCCTTACTGGGGATTGCACTGCGACCTCCTGGTTCATAGGTCAGTGCGCAATCACTAAGCCACACCTGCTGGGGGTTCTTAATTTTTTTAAACAGTTTCCACATTAAAATTTACTCTTTTTACCTCCCTCCTGCCCCCCCCACAATTTCTTTACAAGTTTTACTTACTGGTCTCAGAGAGAGGAAGGGAGAGACGTAGATTTGTTGTTCCATTTATTTGGGCATTCATCGGTTGATTCTTGTATGTGCCTTGACCTGGGGTGGAACTCGCCACCGTGGTGCCTGGGAGCGAAGCTCTAACCCACTGGGCCGCCCGGCCAGGGCCTCTTAGCACAGCGGTCGCCAACCTTCCAGACCTCATGGACCCTGGGTCGGCGACCGCTGTCTCACGTTTCCAAGTAGATGTTTCTGAGCTCAGCCAGCGTGTCCTGCAGGCGCGCGGCTCCTTCCCCGGCATGTAACCTCGGCTCTCCCGTGTCTTCAGCCCACAGATGACATAGTGCTAATGGCCCAAGCCTTAGAGAAAATTTTTCTGCAGAAAGTGGCCCAGATGCCCCAGGAGGAAGTTGAATTATTGCCCCCCGCTCCGAAGGGCAAAGGCCGGAAACCGGCTGCAGGAGCCCAGAGTGCAGGTAACGGTGCGGTGGTCCTTCCGTCCCGGGGCCGGGCCCTCGGCCCCTCAGCTCCGCTCCCCGTCTGACGTCTGGGCAGTGGTGACGTGCACTCCAGGGCCTGGTCTCAGCCGTGGCCGCGGCCCGTCCGGAACACGGGGGCCTTGGTGGGGCCCGTCTGCCCTGGAGCACTCTGGGAGGAGTGGTAGTTTGCCACGTCCCCATGCTCCTCCCGGCCCTGGCTCCGCGGCCTCCTCTTCTGGAGTCCCTGCTGCCCCCTCGCCCCTCTGAGGACGTTGCCCCTTTACCCTTGTGTTCTCTGTGACGGGAGGGGCTGTGCCACCTGTTGGGGAGCCCTAGGGGCTCACCTGGTCCCGGAACCCGGCAGGGAGGTGCGTCCCGATGGAGAGGCGGCCGGAGGTGGCCGAGCCCTTGAGAGAGGCCGGGCGGGTCGCCAGCACTGCTGGCCGTGCCGGGTTGCAGGTGGGGACTGCGGGTGGTTCAGTAGCTCCATGCGGGTCACTCCGATGGCTCCTGATGGAGTCAGGGTTAATCCCACTTCTCAGGCGCAGGCCTGATCTTACCTGCCAGGCTGTGTGGCTTGGCCCGGCCAGAGGGGGAGGCCCTTACTTGTTGGGTGAGCACCCACGGAGGCGGCCAAGATGCAGGGCCCGTGTTTGGGGAGGCAGGGCTCCTCCGACATCGGGCCGGCTGAAGGATGGTCCAGGAAGCTTCTGGAAGGACGGTGTTTGCCCCGCCTGCCCAGGAGCCTGGCCTGCTCAACCTCCTGTCCTGTCCTCAGGTTCGCAGCAAGTGGCGGCCGTGTCCTCTGTCTCCCCGGCGACCCCCTTTCAGAGCGTCCCCCCCACTGTCTCCCAGACGCCCGTCATTGCTGCCACCCCCGTGCCAACTATCACCGCAAACATCACGTCGGTCCCTGTCCCCCCAACTGCTGCCCCACCGCCTCCAGCGACGCCCATCATCCCCGTGGTCCCTCCCACACCTCCCGTCATCAAGGTGAGCGTCCGGGGTTCCTCAGGGTTCCCGGATTCGGGCAGGGGGGGCAGGCAGGCGGGGACTCTGCCGCCGTCCCTGGCCACCGGCGTGTGCGTGTCGGGCGTCTGGTGCATGGGACTTCTGGATGTTTCTCGCCGGGCCTGTGAGGCAGACGAGGCGACCGAGGCTCGGGGACTGCAGGTCACATGGCTGGCGAGGGCAGGCTGCACTCGAACCCCAGCTTCTCTGCCCTGAAACCCGGGCCTTGGCGGTGCACGGGGCCAGGTGGGGAAGGCGTGCGAGAGGAGGGTGGGAGGGTCCCGGCCCATCCTGCCCTGCCCGGCGCACACTCGGGTTTTCAGCCATCAGCGTGGGGAGGGCGATCGCCTCCCCCTGCATCGTGTGCCCCTTAGTGTGAGCACCTGCACCTTCATCTCCCGCTCGCTTGTCTCTCCCCTCGCTTCCCCCCTCGCCTGGGAACCTTTCCCGTGGGACTGCCCTGGCCGGTCGGGGCTGGCGGCTGCCGTCCCGCTCACTCCCAGCAGCCGCGCAGGCACTGACATGTGTCGTCTTCTCCGGTTTGACCCTCGCAGCGACCCTCTGGGGCAGGCAGTGTTCCCCCATCTTACAGATGAGGAAGCAGGCGCTCAGGGGGTTAATGGCTCCCCGCAGGTAACACGCTCCTCCGTGGCCCCCTGATCCCCCGGCCTTCACTGCCTGCACTTCTGGACGGCTCCCGGCCCGGCCGCCACTGCCCGCCCGGCTGGTGTTGGAGCATGTCCTGTTTGCCACGGCCAGACCAGCCCCCTGGGCCCCTGCGCACGTGCTTGGCATCCCTGGGTGCCCGTCAGGAGTTTGTGGAGAGCCAGCTCGGGCCCCTGGCAGCCAGGGGTCAGGGGCTCATCTGGGGCAGCGACCCTGGTGACTGTAGACAGCAGGCCTGTATGAGGCCGTCCGCCCAGGCGCGCGTGGCTCCTGGCTCGTGGCCTCTGCCTGAGCTGAGATGCGGGAGCCGGCTGAGTGGTCTCGGGGACACCGCGCCCCAGCTCGGGCACATGGCCGCGAGGCCCCAGGGCTCCTGTTGTGTCCAGAGAGACCTGCGGGCCCCGTTGCCCTGGCATTACACATGCTCTCACCGGACACACCCACTCCAGCTCAGGGTGTTTCCGCATCATGCCCAGGGTGGAGTCCAGACCCGCCCCTCAGCCCCTGCTGTCCCCGCCCCCACCCGCATGCCTTGCCCTCTCCTGCTCCAGACAGTTGGCCTGGAGGGCGTCGGTTTTGAGGTCCTTGTTGGAACGTTCCCTCTGTCTCTGTCGCCCCTGAGCCTGAGTCCTGCTTGGTGAGGATCCCGATGGCGGCCTCTCGGTCACGCCTGACCTGGAGCCCCTGGCGCAGCCAGCCCGGGTGCTGGTCAGGAGCGGGTGGATTGCATGCTGCCCCTCACGGCTCAGGTGTGCCGAGCCGCTGGGGCCTGGGGCACAAAGGGAGAGGGCAGCTCAGGGAAGGTCCCGAGTCCAGCCTCACCACTGCCAGCTGTGTGACCTTGGGCCGGCGACGCGGCCCTCTGAGCCTCCGTCCCCATTGTGGGGGCAGCTGGGAGGATGGACGCGGCCGAGCGGGCATGGCTTTGCTCGGTGCCTGGGCGGGAGTCGGTGCTCCAGAGCAGCTGCCAGGACTCACGGTCTCAGCCGGCTTCGCCCTGGCGCTCACTGGTGGTTTTGCTGTCGCAGAAAAAGGGCGTGAAGCGGAAAGCAGACACGACCACGCCCACGACGTCCGCTATCACCGCCAGCCGGAGCGAGTCGCCCCCGCCGCTGTCAGACCCCAAGCAGGCCAAGGTGGTGGCCCGGCGGGAGAGTGGCGGCCGGCCCATCAAGCCGCCCCGGAAGGACCTGGAGGACGGCGAGGTGCCCCAGCACGCGGGCAAGAAGGGGCGGCTGTCGGAGCACCTGCGGCACTGCGACAGCATCCTCAAGGAGCTGCTGTCCAAGAAGCACGCGGCCTACGCCTGGCCCTTCTACAAGCCCGTGGACGCCGAGGCGCTGGAGCTGCACGACTACCACGACATCATCAAGCACCCGATGGACCTCAGCACCGTGAAGGTGCGGGCGCCGGGCGGGGCGGCCTCGGCTGGGCATGCGGCTCCCGGAGCGCTGCAGGTTTCTGTAACGGGTGGGGGTGGGGGGTGGGGGGTGTAGGCGAGGAGGCCCTCCCAGTGGCCACGCCCTCACCAGACAGAAATGGGTCCGAGCTGAAACCCAAGCCTGGCCCGCAGCTCCCGTGCGAGGCTTCCCGCCCGGGGCTTCTCCGGGCTCGGATGGGGGTAGACGTGTGAGCAGGGGCGTCTGGCTGAGCCCGGGACGCGGGCAGCGCCCCTCACACCCCGTCGCCGTCTGTTACAGAAGAAGATGGACAGCCGCGAGTACCCGGACGCACAGGGCTTTGCGGCCGACATCCGGTTAATGTTCTCCAACTGTTACAAGTACAACCCGCCCGACCACGAGGTGGTGGCCATGGCCAGGAAGCTGCAGGTAACCCGGGCGCGCTCGGGGGCCGGGGGTGCGGTCCGCTGGGCGAGGTGGGGTCCGCAGCTCCGGGCGGGGCCCTAGGGGAGACCCCGGTGTCTCAGGGCGTCCAGTGGGAGGCCCGGAGCCGTGTCCATCGATGTGGTGGCCCAAGTGCTGGCCGGCCGCCACCTGCTTCCTGGCACTTGGTGCCAAAAGGCCCCTCAGCCTCCCGGGAGCTACGGACTCGGGTGGGGGCAGCATGCAGGACATTCTGGCCGAGGGGGAGGGAGAGGGCCGGTGTCGCTCCTGCAGCCTCGCAGACTGGAGGTCTGGCCAGTCTCTGCGCTGGGGGTGAGGTCTTGGGGCTGCAGTGGTGGACACTCTGAGGTGACGGCGGCCTGGGCAGCCCGTGCTCCTGACAGTAGTCGCCGACAGACGGACGGACAGCACGTGGGAGGGCGGGGCGTCCAGGACTCAGGCAGCCCCTGCTCTCTCGCAGGACGTGTTTGAGATGCGGTTTGCCAAGATGCCGGACGAGCCGGCAGAGGCGCCCGCGCTGCCGGCCCCCGCAGCCCCGGTGGTGAGCAAGGGCACGGAGAGCAGCCGCAGCAGCGAGGAGAGCTCCTCCGACTCGGCCAGCTCGGACTCGGAGGAGGAGCGGGCCACGCGGCTGGCGGAGCTGCAGGAGCAGGTGAGCCTCACGCCCTGCCAGCGGCCCCGGCGGGCTTCCCCTGCAGCGCCTGGGGGCAGGGACCAGGACGCGCTGCTCTGAGGCCCCGCGCCCCTGCCTGCCGGCCTGGCCCCGCAGTGCTCCGGAGCCTTGGTGGGCCCGGTGCCTCGCGCTGCCCGAGAAAGGCCTGGCGGGAAGGCTCTGGCAGCAGCCACTGGGGGTGCAGGCTCTCTCGGGAATGAGGCTGCCCTGCCCTGGCCTCAAGGGCCCCTGCCTCCCTCTCCTCATTTTCAAGTTGGGACCAATTCTCCCGCTGCTTGAGCTGTTCTGACGATGGACTGAGAAAAACGTGAATTGTTTCCCCGCATCAGGCAGCCAGCAGGTGCCTGACATCTGGGGTTCTGGCAGGGAGAGGAGCAGAGTGGGTGGGCCTCTGACTCTGACCTGAGCCTCCTTAGAGATGACACTGCCGGGAAGACGGCTGAGCGCGGCCTGCTCCCCGCCCCTCGTGCCCGGGGGCTGCCGGGATGAGAAGCACAGAGCACTTAGCACGCTGCCAGCACACGTCGGCACCGGATCCTCCCACCCCGGGACCTGCTGTGAACACCGCCTTTGTGCAGCCGTTTCAGCCTCTGTCTGCCTCATCTAAACAATAAAAACGAATAAGAAAACCGTCAGCCACCATTTACCGAGTCCTTACTGTGCCCCTGCCCCAGGCTGCGTGTTTTATCACCAGGCTGGTCTTGCTGCTCTCTGCGCCGCCTGTGACCAGATGCCTTCTCCGCAGGTTACCTGAGGAAACTGAGGCCCGGCGACGGGCCAGCTGTCACGGGCAGTGGGGGCAGAGCCGTGGCTCCTGGGCCTGTGTGGCCCCCGGTGCGAGGTGGCCGGGTGTGCCCGGGGCCCGCTCAGCGCCTGCTCTTTTGCAGCTGAAGGCCGTGCACGAGCAGCTGGCCGCCCTGTCTCAGGCCCCCGTGAACAAGCCAAAGAGGAAGAAGGAGAAGAAGGAGAAGGAGAAGAGGAAAAAGGACAAGGACAAGGAGCGGCACAAGGCCAGGTCCGAGGACGAGAAGAAGGCCAAGGCCGCCCCTCCCTCCAAGCAGGCCCAGCAGAAGAAGCCTCCCACCAAGAAGGCCAACAGCACGACCGTGGCCAGCAGGTGGGCCCACCGTCGCCCTGGCCCCGGGAGCCCGGGCCTCGCGCCTTGGGCGGGAGGAGCGTTGGGTGTGGGGCTCAGCGTGGCCCCGTGGCTGCGAGCCCTGGTGCTCAGAGCCTAGGCCGTTACACGGAGCGAGGGTGGGGCATTGGTGTCCTTGTCTTGTATCCCCTCTGTGCCCTCTTCCACCTTTTATCCCCCCCACCACCAGCACCACGAGACCATATATATATTTATCCCATATAATAAAAGCCTAATATGCAAATGGACCGAACGGCGGAACTACCGGTCGCTATGATGTGCACTGACCACCAGGGGGCAGACGTTCAATGCAGGAGCTGCCCCCAGCCTGCAGGCCCTAGGCCAGCCAAGGCAGGTGCCAGCAGGGGGCCCCCAGTCACCCTGCCAGTCACCCCACAGAGGGAGGCGACTGGCGGTGGTGGGGGCCGGGGCCAGTGAGCAGTCCCCCAGTCGCCCCACCGGTCACCCCACAGGTTGGCCCTGATCGCCAGCCCGGCCTAGGGACCCTAGCTGTGCACGAATTTCGTGCATGGGGCCTCTAGTGTGTATATATATATGTCTATATGTGTATGTGTGTGTTTTTTATTGCTTTCAAGAGGAAGGGAGAGGGAGAGATAGAAACATCCATGATGAGAGAGAATCATTGATCGGCTGCCTCCTGCACGCCCCCCACTGAGGATCAAGCCTGCAACCTGGGCATGTGCCTTTGACTGGAATCCATCCTGGGACCCTTCTGTCCGCAGGCTGACGCTCTATCCACTGAGCCAACCAGCCAGGGCGAGACCTTTTCTCATAGAGTATTTAATGCTATACATTTCCATCTAAATGCTACCCCGCAAATTTAGGAAGTGTGTTTATTTTCCAAATGTTTGGGGATTTTTCTGGTTTAATTCCGTTAAGGTCAGTGATGAACACTTAAAGTTGTTAAGACTTGTTGTCTGGCCCAGCGTTGGTGAAGGTCCATGTGCACTGGAGCAGAAAGTGTGTCTTCTCCGCTGCCGAGTGTCTGTCAGTCAGGAAAAAACAAACAGAACAGCCAACAGGCAGAAACCTGGTCAGGCGGACCTAGGTGGTCGTCGACGGGCTGGTCTCTGCTCCCGCTGACTTATTTGTTAATTGCCAAGAGGAAGTAGCTGGATCCCCCAGCTCCAGCTCTGGCTTTCCCATGTTCCTGCATTTCTGTTGGATTCTGCTTCCCGTATTTGGAAGCTTGGCGGTCAGGCGCACACGCCTGCAGGACCGAGATGGCCCGTGGTCAGGTGGCCCTGTTGTCAGCATGCAGCGTCCCTCTGTCTCCAGTGACCTCCCTTTTTGTGAAGTCTCCTTTGTCTGAAATTAACTCCGCTACTGTAGCTTTTCTTTGATCAGTGTTCGCATGGTCGATTTCCCCCTCCTCTTTACTTTTAACCTACTTCTGTCTTTATATTTAAAATGTAAGTCGGGTCTTTTTTTTTTTTTAATATATTTTTATTGATTTCAGAGAGAAAGGGAGGGGGAGAGAGAGAGAAACATCTATGATGAGAGACAATCATGGATAGGCTGCCCCCTGCATGCCCCCTACTGGGGATCAAGCCCGCAACCCCAGCATGTGTCCTTGACCGGAATCGAACCTGGGACCCTTCAGTCCGCAGGCTGACGCTCTATCCACTGAGCCACACCAGCCAGGGCAGGTCTTGTTTCTTATACAACCTGCTCGTCCTTTTCTTTTCGTTGGTGTGTTTAGACTGTTTATATTTAATGTAACGGTTGGTGCCCTAGGGTCTCGGCTCACTGCGCATCATGCCCTGTCTGTCCCCTGTTCTTACTCCTCATCCCCTTAGCTGCCTTCTCGTGGCGGATTTGGACGTAGGCAGAGGTCAGTGTTTGACCTGCTGAGTGGGAGATGCCTGTGGGGCTCTGAGTGAGGCCCGGGACCCAGCCAGCCGGGGGCAGCCTCAGGCAGCCAGCCTGGCGCCTCTGCTTGGGCCCCACCGTGGGCATCTGTGAGAGCCAGGAGGGGACGGAGCCGGACGGGAGGGGGAGGGGCGGGCCGAGGGGACAGGGGCTCCACGCCACGCCGCTCCTTGCCTCCTGCCTCAGACAGCCGAAGAAGGGCGGCAAGCAGGCGTCGGCCTCCTACGACTCGGAGGAGGAGGAGGAGGGCCTGCCCATGAGCTACGACGAGAAGCGCCAGCTGAGCCTGGACATCAACCGGCTGCCGGGGGAGAAGCTGGGCCGCGTGGTGCACATCATCCAGTCGCGGGAGCCCTCGCTCCGGGACTCCAACCCCGACGAGATCGAGATCGACTTCGAGACCCTGAAGCCCACCACGCTGCGGGAGCTGGAGCGATATGTCAAGTCGTGTTTACAGAAGAAGCAGAGGAAGCCGCTCTGTGAGTCGGGAGCCTGGCCTCGCGGCACCCCCACCCCCTCCTCTGCGGTCCAGGTGGAGCGCCAGGCGGCCCCTCGCCCTCAGCCCCTGGCCCGGCTGTGCTCGGCTGGGGACTGAGGTGGGCTGGCGGGTGCACTTGGCTGCCTGTCCCTCCACCGCCCCCACCCCCACCCCCACCCCGCCCGGCTCAGCTTCGGCTTCTCCCACAGCCGCCAGCGGGAAGAAGCAGGCAGCCAAGTCGAAGGAGGAGTTAGCTCAGGAAAAGAAGAAGGAGCTGGAGAAGCGGCTGCAGGACGTCAGCGGGCAGCTGAGCAGGAAGCCCGCCAAGAAAGGTACCGGGCATGCTGGCGGCTGGGGGCGGGGGCCGTGCTGGGGGGTGGGGGGGGCAGGGGGGGACCGGGCAGGCGTGGCCGCAGACCCAGCTTGAGTTGGTGGCTCCACCACGTCACGAGGCCCGATTTCCTAGCTGGGAGCTGCCGCCCAGCACCCGCCCCGCTCAGGGCTGGAGGCCCCCTTGGCTCACCCTGGGGAGGCAGAGCAGTGCTCCTGCGCCTGCCTGCGCCCAACTGATGGGCGGCATCTCTCTGTCGGCAGGTGGGGGTGCTCAGCCCACCTACACCCCGTCAGCTCCTTGTAGCAGATTGCGTTCATTTTCTCCATCTCTGGGGTGTTGGATGGTCATATTGCTGTATATGTTTGTTTGTTTATTTTTATTTATAAGTAACTTCTAAGTGACAGTAGTACAGATGTGCCCCATCTATGCTATATTCACTCACCACCCTTCCTACACCAGACAGTGGGGTTTTCTCAGCCAGTTGTCCAGTCTCCAATGCCACCTGGATACCCAGGAATTCAGTTCAGTCTGACACTGTCCTCAGAATCAGTGCAGACCTGTAGGGCGGGGCTCGGCCCACAAGAGCGCCCGCCTCGCACTCCAGGTGCGGGTCCTGGCCTCCCGCAGCGCTGACCCACCTGCTGGCTGCACCCGGGGCTTCCCGAGCCCCCCTCCTCCACTCGGTCACGTGCTGCACGGCTCGCGGAACTCAGGCGAGCGCGTTACCTCCTCTCAGGGCCGTGATACAGGGTGTGACCCAGGAGTGACAGCCAGGGGTGGCCACCAGGAGCTGCCTCGCCCTCTCGGACGGCCACCCTCCCAGCTCCATGTGCTTCTACCCCCCCAACCCCCCCACATGGGATGGGGCTCCAAGTTCCCGCCTCCTACATGGCTTGGTCCTCCTGGTGACCAGCCCCATCCTATGGCAATCTGGGGGCCCCAGCCAGACACTCATTAGTATAAGCTCGGGGGTGACCCAAAGGATCTTACAAATAACAGGACATTTTTACCCTCCGGGCGTTCAGGGGTCTCAGGACAGACCCACAGACGTCTCATGACCCGCAGCCTCATTAGCGCTCCCTCCTCTTCCACAGACACGTGTACACGCTCATCACGTGACCGGGCCGAGGCGTGGGTGGGTCGTGGCGTGTAGTGGGTGTGAAACTGGATGTGCTGCAAACGCCGCGTGGGTGACGGCGTGGTGGAGCGCGAGGGGGGGCGTGGGGCGATCCAGGGGCGCGGGAACGACCTCTCACCCGCTGCGTCTCCCCCAGAGAAATCGGGCGCCGCGCTCCCCGGAGGGCCCTCCCGGCTCAGCAGCAGCAGCTCCTCGGAGTCGGCGAGCAGCAGCTCCAGCGGGTCCAGCTCGGACAGCAGCGACTCGGAGTGAGGCGGCCGGGCCTGGCCACTCAGCCCGCGGCCGCCGCCCTTGGCCACGCCGACCTCCGCAGTGCCCCCTCCTACAGTCAATATACTCCTTCCGTTCACGCTGTGCAGGTCTCTCTGTCACCCAGTGTCCGGCCTCCGCCCTTGTCGCTTTCCTAGGTCAGAGGTCGTGGGTCCCGGACTACGAGACGGTGCGCGTCCGCATCACGTCTCTTCTTTGCCACTGAGTCCGAGGGCTCGGAGGTGACAGCTGCAGACGCTGACCTGGTGGCCGCAGGAAAACGAGGACGATGCATCGGAGCGTCCGTCCCTGCAAAGCCCTGTCCCAGGCCCGCGCCGGTCCGGGAACCGCCTCCACGCAGTGTCTCCAAGGCCGTTCTGTGTTTGGAAGCTGTTGGCTTCGTCCCTTCCCCGCTGGTGTCCGAGGGCCGCCGCCTCCTGCAGGGGCCGAGGGCGGTTGGCCCGCGTGGGAAGTGGTGCTGGGCCAGGCGGGGTTCCTCGTGGCTCCGACTGAGTTTTGCCGGGGGTGGCGGTGGGAGGACGGCCAGGGGCGTGCGTGGAAGGGGCTGTGGAGGTTTTCTGACCTTTGCGATGCCAGGAGCTCCCGGGTGTGGGTACAGAGGCTGCGTGTGCAGGTTTCATACACTGAAACTTTTACCTCAACTTAAAAAAAAAAAAAAGAAAAGATAAAAAAAAAAAGGAGACTTTTTTGTAAGGTTCAGCAATTTTCTACGAAAGTCCCCCCCTATGTGTGTCCCCACCTCGTCAGCGCTGCCGCGGCCGCACACTCCAGAACCGTCGTCCCACTCATGTATATATGAATACTTTATTTATTAACACCATTGGTCATTTTTTTAAAAAATAGAAAAGAAAAACAGAAAAGAAATGCATTAAAAAAAAAAAAAACAGCAGAGATGCAGGCCTCCTGGCCTGCGGAGCCCAGGCGCTCCAGGTGCTAGTCCCTGCGGTGCTCCGCGCCCGCCCGCCCGGCGGTGGGGCCGCGCCCTGTGTGTGTGACGTCGGAGACGCGCCCGGCGCCCCCGCTGCAGCTCGCCCGTCCCCTCGGCTTGTGTAGTCGTTTTGTACTCTCCTGGTCTCCCTCGGACTGTTTTAAAAGAACCCGGTTTAGGGAACCCCAGCTATATAATATAAACTTTGTAATCTGAGAGGGGGAAAATGTATAGTAAATCTAAGTCTTGATTTTTAACTTTGTATTGTAAAGAAAAGAATAATAATATACAGAGTTTAACAGAAGGTTATGTTCTGGTTTTGTGTTGCCCGGAGGCTCCCGGACGGCCTTTGAGCGCAGGGATGCCCGCACCGCCGGCCTGGGTTCCGAGCGCCGTGGCTCCAGCCAGGAATGCACGCTCGGCCTTCCCGCCCGGCCCCCCCCAGCCCTGGATGCGGGCCCCTCACCTCCAGGCCTCCTGGGGAGGCACTGCGCCCCGCTGCCCCATGCAGTCTTCCAGCCGCTCTCGGGGGTCAAAGAGCCTCCGGCTCCAGGAGGGCCCCCCACAGGACTACACAGGGCCCCCTGCTCAAGCCTTTTCCATTCAGCAGAAATGGCTGAGACGGGCGTCTCCCAGGCAGCCCCGGGGCGCTTCCCCCGTGGGTGCGGAGGTGCAGCCGTGGTGTGGTCTGTGCCGGTATCGGTGGGGCTGGTCAGCAGTGCCCGAACAGGTGGCGACGGTAAAAACCGTGGCACGGTCCCGCCGCGTCAGCCCTCCTGGCCGTGGGTCCCCTCGTGGCCGTGGGCCCGCCGTGGCCCCGCGCTCCGCCGAGGGCGCGGGGGGGTGGAGTTCCATTTCCCTGACTCCTGGGGACTCCGACACTTGGTGAGTTCTGGGCCAGCTTGTTAAACTTTTAAGTTTTGTTTATAGGAAATATATAAGTGGGTTTTAAAACTTGCCATTTTTAAAGTTTCCCTAGTTTTTCGAAGTGTTTTCTAAACAGGCCTTTGGTGGCATATTTAACCTACGACTAAGGAACCAGTGCCCGATGGGCGAGCAGGGTCTCACGTGATGCCTGGGGGCTCCCGTGGAGCGCCAGCCCCACACGAGGGTGGGGAGCGAAGGGTCACCCGTGGGAGCCGCTAGCGGGAGAAGCGCCTGGCCCCAGAGTTGAGCGCGGAGGGAGCCGTCTGGGCGAGACAGCGGGTTCTCGGGCCTCCCCGGGCGCTGTCCCTGGCTCGTCGGTGCTGCAGTCCCTGCGGCTCTCTGTCCGGACTGCACAGCGGTCTCTCCCGTCTGGGCCCCTCCAGCCTCAGCTCACCTGCGGGTGTTGGTCATGCCCCTCTGTGCTGGGGAGGCTGCAGGGGAGGGGGGCCTGCGTGCATGGCCTGAGTCTGTCTAAGGGGAAGGACCTGCGTGTTAAGCTGGTCGGCCACGTGGAGGGAATGGCTTTGCAAACACCCTCGTGATTGACCTCGAGGGCCAAGGGCAGGCTGCACGCGTCCTGGGGCAGGACGGCTCCCTGCTCGCCACACACTGTAAGATACGTCGCCTTTGCGTTTGGGTTTGTTCTTTTGCGGATTCACGTCTTTTACAGTCGTTTGGGGAAAGCAGCCCCCGCGTGACGCTTCCCGTTTTCCTTTTTATATTTAAAACGTTGCTTTTCTGTATGATGTGCATGCGAGTTTACCGTACCTTTTCTTAAACTTTTTAGTGCCGTTCCTAGTATATTCCTGTAAATGTCAGTTACTGAAAACGAGTCCATTGTACGTAGTTTTAGCTTGTTTGCTGCAATGCTGGCCTCCACACACAGAATAAAATGGTAGCAAGTGCTCCGATGTTTCTGGTAATCATGGACCCTTCTCCTGGGCGTTTGTTTTGTTTTCATAATAAAAGCAAAAAAATAAAAATAAAAAAGGAGGTGCCGCGTGTGCCTTTTCCTGTGCGGCTGGTGGCTCCGCTCTCCGGACGGTGGGGGTGGTCAGGGCGGGAGCACTCCCCCCAGCCCGCCCTGGCCTGGAGCTCTTGGTGGGAACACCCAAAGCTGCGCCCCTAACTCTGCCCCTCAGCCCGCAATGAGGCACCCAGTTCAGGGGCCCCTGGAACGCCCACCCCCTAGAGTGCGGGTTCCCCCACCTTCCAGTCCTTGCTCCTCCTGCGCCTCTGTCTGCACTCGGGGTTCCTGAGGTTCCCAGGACTTCAGGTGCAGGCCCAGCAGACATTCCCCCGAAACCACGCCAGACCAGATGGGTTCACGCGCCGAGGCTCCCCGCTCCGCTCAGTGGGGAATGGAGGAGGCGTCCTGACACCACTCTGCGAACCTGGCCAACCCGGGGAAAAGGTTCTTGGCCCAAGGCCCGGCCCCGTGACACCCCCCTCCATCCCCCTCCCAGGCTGCGCTGGCGGGCGCCCTGCCCGTTCCCACCCACACTCACCTGTCCAGACGGAGCCCCTCTCCTCCAGCCCCTCCCCGAGGACGGGCGGCCGTGTCCCCAGCTACACTCAGGCCGGCGATGCCCGCGTGCCCCAGTGCACGGTCACCTGCACACTGACCTGTGCAGACCCGCCATGGCCAGCGGACCCCCAGGTGCTGCCTCCATGCCCTGGGCCAACCCTGCCACCACCCAGTCTTAGGGCTGTGGGCGCAGGCACTCCCGTGCGTCATGAAGGACTCCTCCTGAGCAGGACTGCGCCTCTGCTGGGGGTGCAGGAGGGACAGGCTTCCCTCCAGCTCCAGCGCTGACTGAGGCAGCAGGTGGCCGAGAACCGTCAGCAGGGACCAGGCCTGGGCTGGACGGGAGCGTCTGGGGAAGCGGTGTGACCCCACCGCGGCACTTCCGTGTCGGCCAACCAGCTCACCCCGGGAGGCGCAGGGCATGCGATGTGCACGGGTGACAGCAAGACAGTGCCCGCCCCCCGGGGCTCCCCCACCCACCCGTCGGGGGCACCATGTAAACACTCATCTGTGCAGCTGAGCAAGAAGGAAATTCAAAACGGGCGCACCGGGCGGGCTGCTGCCTGGAGGTGACCGCGGAACCCCG